TCAGACAAGCCGACAGCAAAGATCGAGCCACATCCCCAGTACCCGCGGGAAGGCGAGAAGCTCCAGCTGCAGTGTGATGGGCAGGGCAACCCCATGTAAGGCCCCCCCTCACCTTCTACCTGCTCAACCCCACCAGGCCCTGGCTAACTTGTCCTCCTACTGCTGGGCTCCCAAAGCCACCACTTGGCACTCCCCGGAGCTTGGGCAGGGCATCGCAGGTAGCACTGTGTGCGCTCGGGGCGCACTGGCCTGGCATCAGTGCCAGGTAGGGCCAGGCGCCCCATGGAGAACAGGCAAAGCCCTTGTCCTCTCCCTGGAGCAGCAGATCCAACCTAGCTCATCTCTAAACGGGGAATTTCCCTCCTGCTTAAATAATCCTGCACCTCCATCGCCCCCTTCACTGCCCTGCCAGGGACTCTGTTCTGCCCCTGCCCACCCTGGGTGCTGGGGCGCGTGGTGATGCGTCACCACCATCCTACTCCACAGCCCCCAGGAGTTCCTGTGGGAGAAGGAGGGCAGCGACGCACCCCTGCAGCTGAGCTCCGACAGCGTCCTCATCTTCCCCTTCCTCAACAAGAGCGACAGCGGCACCTACGTCTGCACGGCCACCAGCTCCATGGGCAGCGTCGTGGCCAAGTACAACCTCGACGTCAGTGGTAAGCAGGGCTGCAGGGCACCTGGTTGGCACAGCTGCATCCATCCCAGCTGCGTCTCCTTGTGAAGGGGCACGTGGGTCCAGGGAGGGCTGTGGTGGGAAGGGGGCTTTGTGGTGCAGGGTGCATGTGGCTGGGTCCTGGCACGCTTGCTGGCGGAGTGCTGCATCCCGGCTCCTCGGGCTGCGTCCAGCCCCACCGCCCTTCCCTGCGCTGTGCAGGGCTGCTGCCCGGCGCTGAGGACCGAGAGCACTATGGGGTGTCGGGGCAGGGACGTGGCACGGCCCAGGCTGAGCTCAGTCCCTCTGACTTGCGATGGGGAGTGGGAGAGGGGGCTGCAGGCAGGACTCTGCTGGAGGCTCTGAGGCAGGGGGGGAGGCCCGGGCTCCTCGGGTTTAAGCCTCTGCGTGTCGCCACCACAAGCCAAAGCGGATTTCCAGACGGTGCTGACCCCTCCAAACCACGAGGTGCCCCGGCAGCCCTGTCCTGAGCTTCTGGAGACGGGCCCCACGGCTCACCCTGAGCTGCTGGAGCTACAGGCTTGTCTTGCATCGCGTCCCGTGTTCCCGGAGCGTATCGCCGCTTGATGCCCGTCCTCGCGTGAGGACGGACAGCACTTGCCGCCTCTGCACGTGGTGCCATCCCGTCACTACCTGCCCCTGCCCCGGCTGTGCCCTGCCGCCGCGTTCGCTGTCGCTGTGCCCTGCCGTGTCCGAGCGCTGCGTGTCACGCATGGAGCGGAGCTGGGTGAGCTTCTCCAGCCCGTCCTTGGCTGGTGCTGCTGGCCTGGTGCCCTGGCTCCTGTGCGCGGCACCCACCCAGCCCTTTCCTGTGTTGGTAGGAGTCCGTTTCCCTGTGGTTTTGGCCTTGGATTTCAGGTTATCCTCCTCTTCTGCCGAATCTCTTGCTCTCTCTTCTCTACTGGCCTTGGACTTTACGTGTTCCAGCACTCCTACGTGTTCCAGCTCTTCCCTTTCCCATCTTCTTTCCCTTCCCTCCCCTCCTATTTTGGGCACTCTTGGCATCCTTCCCTTCCGACGGGGCTGTGGGTAGAGGGAGCGCATGGCAGCAACAGCATCTTGGGCATCCTGTCCCCCTGAGTCCCTGTTTTCTCTCTGTCCAGAATGAGCCCCTAAATGCCCAACCCTGTGCAGTTGTTCCTTTGTCACCCCTTGTGTCCCCTTTGTCCCCTGGCTGCGGGATCTGCACAGGAAGCTGGTTCCTGAACCCAACTGTAAGCACACAGCAGCCCCCAGGGCGCTCAGCACCCATCCGTAGATGCACAGCAGCCCCCAGGGTGCTCAGCACCCATCCGTAGATGCACAGCAGCCCCCAGGGTGCTCAGCACCCATTCAGGAGCACAGCAGCCCCCAGGGTGTTCAGCACTCATCCATGGGTGCACAGCAGCATCCGGGGTGCTCGATACTGTCCATGAGCACAGGATGCCTGGAACACCAGTGTCCCTCACCTGCTCGGGGTCACAGCTCCCAGCAGAGGAGCCCCACATCCAGGCTTGGTTCCCCTTGTCAGATCCCCCCCTCTCTTCCCCGGGAGCCGCTCGGGTGTTGAGCACCATCCCTGGAGCAGCTGCCTTGCCCGGCCAAGCCCTCAAACCTGCCCAGGGCAGCGGTCACCTTTCTCAGCAGCAAGGGAGAGCCGGGACAGAGCAGTCCCCGAGGACGAGCGTAGGAAAGTGTAGGTGATACCTCACCCAGGGTGATGCTTTCCACCTGCTGCAGTCTCAGGGCTCCCAGGCAGGAGGGTCCCAGTGGGGGTCCCTCACGGAGGAAGGGGTGACCAGGGATACTGGCAGGGTAGGAGAGGGGGAAGATGTTCACAGCAGTGCGTCCCAGGGGACGGCAGCAGGAGAAGAGGAGTGGAACCCGTGGCCAAGAAAGGGGTCATGGGAGGAGTGGGGTTCCCTCCGGTGGGCTCTGTCATCTCACTGGCACCTCCTGGGGTTGATTCATGTCCCTGTGTTTTTGTCGTCCTCCCCAGATCTTTCCCAGCTCCCCACCCCACACGTTCACTCCACTCCAGCCCCTCCGCCAGGCCCTTCCCAGCCCATCTCTCATGCTTCCATGGCCACCGCTTCATCCTTCACTCCAGCTCCCATCCAAGGTACCGTAAGCTCCTTTTCTCTCTCTTTACGGACCCACCACTCCCCAGCCTGGCGGGAGCAGCTCCACAGGAGGATGGTGGCCCGACCCTGGGCCACGGACGCACTTGCCACGTCCCAGGTGCCCAGTCAGGCTCCGGTCCCTGTGCGGCTGCGTGTGTGGACTCCGCAACCGCCACTCAGCACTTCGGGGTGGCGGACGCAGCAGAAAGAGCCGAGGCCCCCGAGCTGGGGCTGCGTAATGGTCCTTCCAGCTCTTCCAGGCAGGTTGTGGCAGCAGTTGCCTGTGAGCAGCAACCTGTGCCTTGTGTCCATCTGAGATGTTGTCCCTCTGTCCCGTCATCTCCCCTGTTGTTTTTCCCACCCCGTCCTGTCCAAACGTCTCCTCTGAACGTTTTTGTGGCTCTGCATCCCGGAGCTGCTGGGGCACGATGAGAGCGGAGCGGAAGGAGGACATGTCCCTGTGTACCAGGGCTAACACAGGATCCCAGTGCAGACTGCGCTGCAAGATGTGGCTGACTTGGGACTGGCCTTGGAGTCCCACCTTCCCT